AAAAAGAAGTAATATGCAAATTTTCAAAGATCTTACCAAGCCACCAACGAATCTTTTGCTTTGCAAAACTCCAAACTCTATAGATTGCTGCCTTTGTTTCACTTTTTCAACTTCTTCTCATTATCCCACTAGGTTTTTGCAGACAGCTGACATCGTGCCCAACAGAACGCAGTCCAAACGTTTAGCGTGTGTGCAAAACGAGGCTTGCCGAGTTTTTCCACAGCTCCCTCGTTCAGCTGTTGCTCCTAATGAGCCCTCGTACTCCCTGGATGTTTTTACGGTGTTTAATGGCCACATTCATGCTCGCCGTTCTCGACAACCCGCGCCCAATGGCGCCTGCCTTCGTCACAACGGCTCAGAGAGAAGAGAAGAGAGAAAGGGAGGGAATTGGTGAGGGTGAGGAGGAACAAATGCGCTTCACCCTCATCTCCATTGATTTTTGAAACTCAGTTTTTCGGGATACTGCATCGATTCGTCGCGACGTCTGGCGACACTCTCTCGTCGTCGGCTCGTCGACTGCGCATCTCATGCCAACGTTTTGCCATCGACGGCGTTTTTCATCCTCGTCGTGCTCCATCTTCTGAGAACTATCTACGTTAGTCAGCTTTCTTTCTTCATCTCTTGCAGTTCGTAATAGCTGAGCTTCCTATGATTCACTAAGCTTTTCATATTCGTGTTTCTTTGTTTCTTAACATTGTTTCCGTCGAGTTTGTACAGCTGGTGTGTGATCTCTTTGAGTGATCTGATTCCAATGGTTGCAGAGCTGCCATGCGGTTCTTCAAACATAGCTTTATTAACACTCTTCCGTAATTTGATCAAGAACTAAATACGGATATAATAATAGTTTAACGTACTTCGTCAAACTTTTTCGTAACTGTCGCTTTGTTAAGCTAGCAAAATTGCATTACTATTTGTGCTGCATTTATTTAGAAGTTCTGAATCTCTTCTCCCTCTGCTCCTCCCCTTGTTACGCTTCTGCAGTGCTTTACCATCTGAAAATTCACTTTTACAAATTTTAGAGTAATTTGCTAAACAAAAAAGCGACCTGAGGCACATTTAATCATGTGAGAATTGGTAAACTGAATTTTTAGTTTGAATGTTGCAGTACATTAGATACAATACGTAGCATACGGCTTTTAAGCGCCTAGGTTTCGTTACGTGGAAGAGACAGTAATTGTAGTTCCCATGCTGTCAGGTCACGAGCTCGTTTTGCCTCAATTTTTGAAGATTCCTTAACAGCTGTGACGCTGCCAGCAAATGCCGCCTTTTTCTCCTCACGCGAGTCTTCACTCGTCCAGCTTGTTCATACTCAAGTATGCCTCATATTTGAATGCTTCTACCCACGCAATCCCGATTTCAGCCCTTTCAAAATAAGCATTTTTTGGCTTCTGAAGGGCATGTGGCTAAGGCTATCTAATCTTGCGGAATTAATCCTAATACAATTATTCGTACATCTTTATAATCTTATGTGTAGATATGTTTCCTTCATTTAATCACGTTTAACTCTGTGCCACGCGCTATTAAGAAAAAAAAGGTAGTGGAATGAACTAGGTGGGCCATCGAGCATTCAAGCCGTTGGGTTCAATAGATGTGATGAATGTTTACGACGATA